GAATCATAGAACTGGAAGGGACCTTGAGAGGTCATCTAGTCCAGTCCCCTGCATTCTCTAAATATTCTCTAGACCATCCCTGACAGGTGTTTATCGAACCTGCTCTTAAAAATCCCCAATGATGGAGATTCCACAACCTCCATAGGCAATTTATTCCAGTGTTTAACCACTCTGATAGGAAGTTTTTCCTAATGTTCAACCTAAACTACCCTTACTGCAATTTAAGCCCATTGCTTCTTGTCCTAGCCTCAGAGGTTAAGAAGAACAGTTTTTCTCCCTCCTCCTTGTAACAAACTTTTATGTACTTGAAAACTGCTATCATGTCCCCTCTCAGTCTTCTCTTCTCCAGACTAAACAAACCCAATTTTTTCAATCTTCCCTCAGAGGTCATGTTTTGTAGACTTTTAATCATTTTTGTTGCTCTTCTCTGGACTTTCTCCAACTTCTCCACATATTTCCTGAAATATGGTGCCCAGAACTGGACACAATACTCCAGTTGAGGCCTAATCAGTGCGGAGTAGAGTGGAAGAATTACTTCTCGTGTCTTGCTTACAATACTCCTGCTAGTACATCCCAGAATGATGTTTGCTATTTTTGCAACAGCATTACACTGTTGACTCATATTTAGCTTGTGGTCCACTATGACCCCCAGATCCCTTTCCGCAGTACTCCTTCCTAGGCAGTCATTTCCCATTTTGTATGTGTGCAATTGATTGTTCCTTCCTAAGTGGAGTACTTTGTATTTGTCCTTATTGAATTTCATCCTATTTACTTCAGACCTTTTCTCCAGTTTGTCCAGATCATTTTGAATTTTAATCCTATCCTCCAAAGCACTTGCAACCCCTCCGAGCTTGGTATCGTCCGCAAACTTTATAAGTGTACTCTCTATACCATTATCTAAATCACTGATGGAGATATTGAACTGGACACAGAACCGATCCCTGCGGGACCCCACTCATTATGCCCTTCCAGCATGACTGTGAACCACTGATAACTACTCTCTGGGAACAATTTTCCAACAGGTTATGCACCCAACTTATAATAGCTCCATCTAGGTTATATTTCCCTAATTTGTTTACGAGAAGGTCATGAGAGACAGTATTAAAAGCCTTATTAAAGCAAGATATACCACATCTACCACTCCCCCCCCCATCTACAAGGCTTGTTACCCTGTCAAAGAAAGTTATCAGGTTGGTTTGACACGATTTGTTCGTGACGAATCCATGCTAATTATTATTTATCACCTTATTATTTTCTAGGTGTTTGCAAATTGATTGCTTAATTATTTGCTCCATTATCTTTCCGGGTATAGAAGTTAAGCTGGCTGGTCTGTAATTCCCCAGGTTGTCCTTACTTCCCTTTTTATAGATGGGCACTATATTTGCCCTTTTCCAGTCTTCTGGAATGTCTCCCGTCTTCCATGACATTTCAAAGATAATTGCTAATGGCTCAGATATCTCCTCAGTCAGCTCCTTGAGTATTCTGGGATGCATTTCATCAGGCCCTGGTGACTTGAAGACCTCTAACTTGTCTAAGTAATATTTGACTTGTTCTTTCCCTATTTTAGACAATGATCCTACCTCATTTTCACTGGCATTCACTGTGTTAGACATCCAATTGCCACCAATCTTCTTGGTAAAAACCGAAACAAAGAAATCATTAAGCACCTCTGCCTTTTCCACATTTTCTGTTATTGTCTTTCCCCCTCACTCAGTAATGGGCCTACTCTGTCCTTGGTCTTCCTCTTGCTTCTAATGTATTTGTTGAATGTTTTCTTGTTTCCTTTTATGTCCCTAGCTAGTTTGATCTCATTTTGTGCCTTGGCTTTTCTAATTTTGTCCCTACATACTTGTGTTATTTGTTTATATTCATCCTTTGTAATTCGACAGAGTTTCCACTTTTTGTAGAACTCTTTTTTGAGTGTTAGATCATTGAAGACCTCCTGGTTAAGCCAATCCAGGGTGGTCTCTTGTCATACTTCTTATCTTTCCTACGCAGTGGGATAGTTTGGTCTTGCGCCCTTAATAATGTCTCTTTGAAAAACTGCCAACTGTCTTCAATTGTTTTTCCCTTTAGACTTGCTTCCCATGGGATTTTACCTACCAACTCTTTGAGTTTGCTAACGTCTGCCTTCTTGAAATCCATTGTCTTTATTGTGATGTTCTTTCTCCTACCATTCCTTAGAATCATGAACTCTACCATTTCATGATCACTTTCGCCCAGGTTGCCTTCCCCTTTCAAATTCTCAACCAGTTTCTCCCTATTTGTCAAAATCAAATCTAGAACAGCCTCCCCCCAGTAGTTTCCTTCAGCTTCTGAAATAAAAAATTGTCTCCAATGCATTCTAAGAACTTGTTGGATAATCTGTGCCCTGCTGTGTTATTTTCCCAACAGATGTCTGGGTAGTCGAAGTCCCCCATCACCACCAAGGCTTGTGATTTGGGTGATTTTGTTAGTAGTTTAAAAAAAGCCTCATCCACCTCTTCTTCCTGGTTTGGTGGTCTGTAGTAGACCCCTACCGTGACATCACCCTTCCTTTTACCCCTTTTATCTTTCCCCAGAGACTTTCAGCAAGTCTGTCTCTTATTTCTATCTCAACCTCAGTCCAAGTGTGTACATTTTTACTATATAAGGCAACACCTCCTCCCTTTTCCCCCTTCCTGAGCAAGCTGTATCCTTCTATACCAATATTCCAGTCATGCATATTATCTCACCAAGTCTCTGTGATGCCAACTATGTCATAGCTGTGTTATTTACTAGCATTTCCAGTTCTTCCTGCTTATTCCCCCTACTTCTCGCATTAGTATACAGACATCTAAGAAGCAGTTGCATCACCTCAGTTAGGGGAGGGAAGTGAGAAAGTAGAAGGAAGCTGTGCTGACACATTCCGGGCAGTAGAGGGTGATAGAAATATGCTTTCCTTTGATGAGTCCTTGGGAGCAGACATTTTACAAAGCCTGGGTCATGGGTGGACCTTGGAGAGTCCATGCTGCAGGGTTGGAAGTGTTGAGGCTATTCTAACTCCTCTTAGATATTCCAACAAGAGCAACAATCAATGCCATGGTTTTGGTGATGTGGGCACCTGCCTACTCCGGACTAGGCTGAGGCCTTGTCCATATGGGGAAATTGACCTGCTTTAGCTCTTCTGGAGTAACTATGAAATCACTTTTATTCTGGACTAGTGTGTTCAGACAGGCAGCTGTTCCAGACTAGCTTATTCTGCAGTAGCTACACTGGTCAGTTTCCCCAAGTAGACAAGGCCTGAGATCCAGATCACTCTTCACACTGTTTTGTCACCCAGCCATCCAATGAGAGTGACTTTCACTCATTTTGAAGATGATGAAGTTCTGAGAAGTTCCACATTTGCATTCATGCCCAGGCAGCATACAGTGTCTCAGCTGGCATTTAGGTGTGTTCCTCTGCGGTGCAGTCATTTCACTCTGCACTACAGCATCCATGGGGATACAGGGAGGGCTAGCCCTGTCTCTGCAGACAGGGCTGTTGCTTACCATGTGGAAAAGCATAACTGTTGCTTCTCCCCAGTTCTGGGTCATGTGCATCTCATCTAAGGGTGCACGCCCTTAATGCTGCAGCAATGTTGTCTTTTCCTTTTTGGCTTAAAAAAATCCAGGGAAATGAAATGCAAACAACTATGTTAATACAACATTGTGATGGCCGATGTAAACACAGAGTGGTTCAAAGAAAGGCTAAAGTTCAGGTTCTCCTAGGAATGCCTACTCATGGCTCTGCACTGGCGTGGTTTTGGGGCTTCCCAATTCGACTGTTAACCCTTATGGGATAGTCCTGAGGTGTTTTGCATCTGCAGTGTGGCCAGTTTCCTGAGAGGTGAGGTGTTAAGGGTCCTGTGCCAAGGAGGGTGAGGAGTCTGTGGCTGAGAGAAGGGAGGGGCCTGCTCAACTCGCTAAGGTGGAGCGTGTCCTACACTGTGATGCCTCCCGTCCATGCCAGCCAGCCCTGCTTTTCCTTGCCTCAGTCCCACTGAGGAACCTGCATTTGGCAGGGAGCTCACATCAGGGGCATGCTAGCCTAGAGCCAGGGCAGCAGTATTCAGCTCCGAGGCTGGCCTGTGTATGAAGGAGTCTAAAGAGCAGAAGGCGCTGCTTGCCTGGGGAGGAGGCAGAAGGGCACTCTTGATGCTGGTAGGGAGGAGGGGGCATAGGAGAAGCTAGGACGTTGAATGGGGATATCATTTGGAACAGGGAAGGAGGAGGGATGGAGCTGGGCTGGAGCAGGATGTAGTGAAGGAGAGAGACTAGAACAAGTTATCACAGGTCACTGGTCTCTTCCTGAAACTCTAAGGGTTAAATGTACCTTGTCCAGCATGTTCAATGTGGGCGAATTAATGCTACTCTGGGAATGTGAGCTTGAACATCAGCACCAGACTTTGTAGCTGGTTACTACCATGCACACTCTATATTTTGGTGCTTTATAGTGAGTGTTGATGGGCCGAAGGACTTCACAGGGGACAGTTCAGCTGGGTTAGAACCTTTTATCTCTACTTTGTCCTCCTAATGGTCCAGTCTGTAATGAGTACAATAGAAACACCAGAATACAATGGAGATGGCCTCTGGAAGCCACATACCAGTCATAACCTCCCACCCAGTCCCCAGGAGTTTGGGATGGAGCCGAGTGGGGTGATAATATAGCAATGTACACTCTCTGGTGTTTTCTGCAGCTGAGACAGTTATTGATTCCTTTGCATGATTCCTTGCCCCCCTCCCTGGGGGAAAGACTAGAGGAGTCGCATACTTTTTCTGGGGTTAATCTGATTGGCAGATCTCTTACTGATGGGGATCTCTGTCTGGGAAGTTTCTTCAGTGAGGGGATGGGCAATGGAGCAACAAGGTGAATGAGGCCTTCAAGGATAGAGATGTAGCAACAGCCTTTTCTTCGCTGCTGTGCTCAGCCCTGCACTCTACCAGCTCTGCCTTGCTCTCTCCTTCCCCTCCATGTTAACCTGCTCCTCTTCTCTTCAAAAGGGGCTGACACCCTGAGCGAGACGAGCTCCATCAGCCTGGAGGCCACGACCGACAGCAGAGAGACTTCAGTGGCCACCTCCATCCTGTCCCCCTTCACAGCTGGCCGCGGGCGGGATGAGGCAGACAATCGCAGCGAGCACAGCTACAGCGAGTCAGGGGCCAGCGGCTCCTCCTTCGAGGAGCTGGATCTGGAAGGCAACGGCGATGGGTCGGCAGGGCAGCCTTCTGACCTGAGCTATGCCGAAGAGCCGGAGACCACAAAGGCCAAGTGGGCTAAGGAGCCCACTGCTCTGGAGAAAGAGAAGGGTGAAGAATAAACCAGAGTCCTTCCAGCTTCCTCCCCTTTAGTTGGGAGGAACTGATCTGTCCTGTTTTCTTTCTCTCTAGCCAAGAGATTTCAGTCATCGATTCCCATTGAGCCCCGCACCCTTCTCCTCTGAGGACAGATGTTCCGAGTGTTATAAAGAAGGACAGCTACACTAAGGTGGAGCGTAGCTAGGAGCTGTTCCCCAGGAGCCTTTCACCCACTTGTGTGCTGTAGCAGAGAGCTGGGGGTGCAGTCTGTTTGATGAGCAGTGAAATGTTCTTCCAGGCTGCATGAGTGTATAAATGCGTGGTGAGCTCTCTGCATGAGCTGTGGATGTGTGTGTGTGTGTAACACATGTTCTCCCTTTGCCTGTCTCCCTGCTCCATCCCTCTATCTCCTCAAGGCAGCCTGGTTCTCCACTGTACAGAGACACATTGACTGGCACCAAAGAGCAGACAGTGGTTTTATTCCATGGAAAATGGAAATATACAATGTAAAATTGTCCTCCTGAAACGGATGTTAAGCTTTTGGGATCTGTAATAAAGCAAATGCTTTTCCTCTGAGGTGTGAGGGCTCAAGGGGAGGGTTTTGTGATTCTGTCCTTTAACGCATGGGCTCGTCTGTTACCCCGGTCCTTGGAGAGCTGAGTAAGCCACACGCTTGGCACTTGCGCTGTTTCCAAGTGATTTTTGGAACAAAAGTGGTGCTCCCAGCTGATCCGAGTTTGAAGTTTCTTAGCGGCTTGCCTGGGCTGTGTGAAATGCAGTGGGGGCCATGCCATCCAGACCTTGGGGAGCAGATGTCCCCGTCACTGAAATCACCATCATTGCTGGAACTCTGCTTCCTGCATAGCAGTTTGAACAGAGAGGCCAGGAGTGAAGGCTGTGGACACCAAACTCCCTGAGGGCCCAAAATGCTCCTTCCAGGTCGGGGAAAGGCATATTGGCAGAGGCAGCAAAGGGAAGCCAGCACTGCTGCCCCTGTGCCATGGTAGAGAACTTCAGTGTCTAGGGTTGCCGGTCTGACTCCAGTCCCCTTAAAAGTCACTTAGAATAAAAGCTCTCAACTTGTCACTCAAATCCTTGTCTCCAAAGATGAAGTCTGATCCAGCCAGCTGCCTGCTCTGCCTGTTCCCACTATCTCCTTTCCCACCCTGTTTCCAGACAGACCATGTCCCAGGCTTGACATTTCTAAAGACACTCTTGCATCAGCTGTTGCAGCCTCCTTGAGTATTTTCAATGGACATATTCCTTTGTGGAGGGGATTGGGGTGGGCGGGGAGCTGGTCCATGTTATTCTTTGTGATAGATTTGGGGAATAAAGTCCTTTCCTGGGTTAGGTTACAGATTCCTGGGTGTTGTGCTGTGTTATAGAAGTGTCTGTGCAGGAAGGGTGGCTGGATGAGGTAGAGCAGAGGTCATGCAATGGCATCTGTCACAAGGCGCCTCCCACATGAGACGCCCTCCTGCAGCAAGTCAAGGCACAGTGTGACTCAGTTTCCCTCCTTCAGAATCCCCAGAAATAGTCCAAACAGTCTTCTGAGGACTAATGGCTGTGGTGGGGTTAATTGATTAAAAAAGAAAGCCCTGTGTGCAGAAACCCTAACAAAACCAGTCCCAACACCATAGTTCAGACAGTATATCAAACAGGGCCCTGGTGTTCCTTTCCTTTCCCCAGCTCTCCAGTACGGCTCCTTCCTCCCTCACCATGTCCCGGCTCTCCGGCACGGCTCCTTCGCCATGTCCCAGCTCTCCGGCATGGCTATTTTCTCCCTCGCCATGCCCCGCGGGGCTCTCTGGTACAGCTCCCTCCGCTCTTGCCATGCTCTGGCTCTCCAGTACGGCTCCCTCACCATGCCCCGGCTCTCCGGTACGGCTCTGTCATGCCTTGCTGCTCCCCGGCTCTTGAGTATGGCTCAAGTATTCCTCACCATGCTGCATTCTCAGCTTGGCCTGGCTTACAGCAGGCATCTCAAGCTACTGGTGTCAACCTTCAGCCCTCTCCTTTCTTCTCTGGCCATGGTGCTCTGGCTCCTCAGCCCCTCCACAGGCTCCCTGCTAATTTTTCACTCTTTCCAGGGGCAGCCGGCAGGGAGCTTCTCTGTGGCTTCCCCAAAGACCTCTTCCTGTCTCCTCCCCTCAGATTCTCCTCGTTCTTTATAGCCCTCAGGTGCTGCCCCCTCCTTAATTGGCAAAACTGGGAGCGGCTGTTCTGGCACCTGGACCTACTTCAATCTCAGGGGGCAGCATGCCAGTGCTGGATCTGTATCGGAGCTAGTGCAAGGGCAGGGTTCTGGGGGCAGGAAGCCAGGAGAGTCAGTGCAGCTGGGGCTAAGTGCTGGTGGTTCTCTGGTGCCTTAGCCTGGTGGCACAGATGGGAAGTATTCGGTGCAGCCCAGGGGGTGCAGGGATATCCCAGTATTGCAGATTCTTAGGTGCTGTAGTTGAGGGGAGCTGGTGTCCAGGTGCTGGAGGTTCCTGGATGCTGTTATTGCTCTACTTTGGTCTCATTAGCTTTTCCTTGATGTTGTGTTGTAGCAGAGACTGTGTTTAACAACTGTGAGTTGTACTATTTGTTCTGCCCTTGTACTAGCTGCAAAACCCTAAATCTTAGAGTCCTCAGGGTGGAGTGGAGACTCCATGATGCCCATCTGTTGCTGGTGACATAACCTGTAGATTGGGGTGGGTCTAACACATCTGCCTCAAGGATCTAAAATGAAGCTCTGGCCCAGATCCATCCCTGGTGTAAGGGATGGAAGCCCTCCTGAAGCTCACGGAGATACAGTGGAGATGACTTGGAGTCTGGGATCCGTGAGAGAAGAGCTGTGAATTTTCAGAGCTCTATGGCTGTGACTTAGTGAAGGCACTGAGAACAGGGAGGGAGAGAGGAGGGGGTTTGAAAGGGTTGATCTTCCCCACAGTGCTGCTGCTCCTTTTGCTCACGTCCTGCTTGCAGGGGTCTTGGATCAATGTCTCGCTCCGCGTTTGTTAATGGACCTGGATCCATACTGTGTGAAAGGAGTTCAGCACTCAGCAGAGCATCAGGCTTGCCTTGTTCCTCAGCATCGACTCAGCCTGGGGGGAAATCAGTGGGGATGCAATTATCAGAGCCATCCCCGTTGCCCTGGCGGGTCTGCCTGGCAGCTCTGCTCCCTCACCCAGCCCTCCCCTTTGCATCTTGATTCCTCTGTGCTCTTGCTGCTCTTGGCACCACTGTAAATCTATCCCAGTGCTGGAGGTGCGTATCAGAGCTAGTGCTCAACACGGGCAGTGGGCAGCACCTTGCTTTGGGAGGACGCTTTGCCTGCCCCCTCCCACAAAGGTCATAGCATCTAGAAGCTGGAGCAGATACGTCCTCTGAATATAGACAGTTGGCTGGGTTGGGGGTTAGGGTTTTCCTAAGTGGCATCACCATGCCCAATGCCCCAGCTATTGGTGGCAGGTCCTAGGGTGTATGGGACCACCTGGATCTCACTGCAGCTGGCTGTGCTCAGTTGGTTCCTTGTGACATAGCAATGGCTGATGGTGCCCCTGGATTTACTTGAACATCACCAGCTGCTGCTGCTTGGCATGCAGTGGCATCCCCTGGGCATCAGTTGGGGCATCAAAGAGCAGATCCTCAGTGGTGCCAGCTCTGAGGGAAGATTTTACACATGAAGCATCCGCCATTTCTAAAGGCTGTGTGTTTGTATCTGTGTGTACCTGTCTTTTCCTGTATGCATGTGTGTGTGCATGTCTGAGTGTACACATGCATGTCTGGGTGCCGGTATGCAGACGTGTGTGCATGTGTGAGTGAACACATGTATATCTGAGTGCCTGTATGCAGGTGTATGTGCATGTATGGGTGTACATGTGTATATCTGGGTCCCTGTATGCAGGCATGTGTGCATGTCTGGGTGTACACATGCATGTCTGGATGCCTGGATGCAGGCGTATGTGCATGTCTGTGTGTATAGGTGCGTGTGTGTGTGTGCTTGGATGCAGGGATGTGTACCTGTTTCTCTGGGTCTGTGGGGGCACGTATGTGTGCAGAGGAAGGAGCAGCAGGAGTGTCAATAGAAAATGCACTGTCCTTCCCCCCAGATTTTGCTGACATATGGAAATATTATCCCCTCTCTGCAGCACTGTTATATTGTTTTTTAAAGAAAAAAGTAATTTTGCTCCATTTCACAGTATCTGCTGCTTATTTGTGAACCCTGCTGTGAGGGGGGAAGAGCTGTCAGTGTTGGGGCTTTCTATTTGCCATTTATAAACAAATGCCATGTTGTTTGAGTTTATTGCTTTAAAACTGTGTGTGTGTCTGTGTTCAGCCCTCCCTATATGCATAGCCATTGTGTGTGTGTACACACCCCTCCCTGTATGCATGGACTCCCTGTGTGTGTGTGTAAACACCCCTCCCTATATGCACAGACTCTGTGTATATGTGTGTCTGTGTACATCCTTCCCTATAGGCCTGGACACTGTGTGTGTGTGTGTTTAGATGCCCCTCCCTGTTTGCATGGACACTGTGTATATGTATGTCTGTGTACACCCTTCCCTATATGCATGGACTCTGTGTGTATGTGTGTCTGTGCACACCTCTCCCTATATGCACGGACACTGTATGTGTGTGTGCACCCCTCCCTGTTTGCATGGACTCTGCATGTGCACATATGGGTGCAAGGACTCCCCTTTGTGTGTGTGTGTGTGTGTGTGTGTGTGTAAGGGCACTGTGTGTGGGCATGGACACACATCCCTGGCTGTAGGAGTGCATGGCTGAGTATGCGTAGATGGGTGGGTGTGTGTGGCCAGGAGTTTGGGTGTGCATGAGTCTGGGCGTGGGAGCTGTTCGGCGTGTGCCTGGATTGGTCTAGGTGGGTATAAGTGTTTGCCCATCCATGTGGCTAGGTCCATGCATCAGGCAAAGCGGGGCTGAACCTTTGTGCTGAGGCATCTCCCACTTGGCCAGGCTGCGTGTGAGCAGCATGAGAGGAGCTGCCCTGCTGCTGCAGGGTACCGGGATTATGAGTGAGATGGGGCATGCTGGCATGGGCCCCTGGGGCATTCTCCTCTGGCAGCTCATGGCCTCCAGGACTCGTTTGTAGACAGTGGGCACAGTCACCACCCTCCCGCTGCAGCCCTAGCGCTTTCACCGGGGTTTAAAACGCGAAGGCCAATGAGTGGAGCCATCAGTCATCCCCAGCGAGGGGCCAAGCTGTGTTGGACTCCAGGCACCATTCCCTGGCTCTGAACCGCCTTCCCCCCCGAGACCACTAGCCAAGAGGGGTAGGTGGAGACACTCAATCCCTCCTAATACCACCCCTTCCCCTGGACCAGGCAAACCTGTCTCTTTTGGGATAGAGTGCAGGCACCTGAAGGGGATTAGAGAGCCAGTCCCCTTATTCAGTGGTTTTCAAACTTTTTTCTGGGGACCCAGTTGAAGAAAATTGTCGATGCCTGCAACGCAATGGAGCTGGGGATGAGGGCTTTGGGGTGTGGGAGGGGCTCAGGGCTAGGACAGAGGGTTGGGGTGCAGGGGTGAGGGCTGCGGTGTGGGGCCAGGAATGAGGGGTTCAGGGTGTGGGA